GCTACGTAATTATTTGGCTGACGGGTCATATCACTAAGTTTACGTTTAATCTTATTTGCCCACATTTACTTTGTTATACATTTATAAACTGCGCATAGTGCGCCTTGTAAGCCACACAGAGTGGATCAGTTATCAACATGGACTACGCTCGATTGCCGATTGTAAATTACTCGAGATGGCTGATTTCTTTTGCAAGACATCTTCCACAGTATGTCCATGATAGCGTGTCGAATGTGTCTCATCTTCCAGCAGTAAATGACAGGGTTCAAAGTTGAATTTAGATACATGAGAGTCAATGAGAAAAGAAAGAGTTTTTTTAAAGTGGAATTCGAGCCATAGATCAGAATAGCAGCCTTGGTAATAAAAATAGGAAAATAACAAGTTAAATACACGAGAAATACGTAGAATATTCCAACTGTTGATTTAATGAAAACAGCAAAGTTCTTCATTTCATCAGACTGAGCTTCGTTTCGTATTTGCATGGACTGAATCTGATTCCTGTGTCGTTGGACAGCTAAATATATCTTGATGTACACCAAAAATGTGATGATGAAACCGAAAGCTAACGCAACTGTTACAATGAGAACCTGAGTACTGCGCAACCCCCACAATATCGTCGAAGAAACAAATGCACTGCATACCCATATGCCAGTCACCACAATAACAACACGCTTGTGAGTTACAAGCCCTTGGTATCTGAGATGAAGATGAATAGCTAATAATCTGTCTACACTCACAGCTATGACACCAAGGAACGAAGCAGTTGAAAAGAAATGACCAGAAATATTTAGCAATCCAGAAATGTTGCAGTTAAGATTGTCCACTTGAAGCCACTTGATCAGAAGGAACGAGTATAATGGTTGAATAAACAAACCAACAGCAACATCAGAGAAGGCAAGACTAAGTAACAAAGTTTTTAAAGTTTTTGCCATTATTGAAGTTTTGTGAATGGCGTAGATTGTCGCAATATTCAACGCGATGGTGGTATAAATTAGAAAGCTGTTGAAGACACAGTTGGCGAAAAAAGTGGAGCGAAGATCTGCAAGCTCGGCGTATTTAGGAAAATATTGCCAAGACTTGTTACAATTGAATACGTTCATGATACCAACTCATTTACAAAGAATAGAGACGTCAAGAATCTCTTACCACTCTTAAGTTCGCGGGAAAATTTTTATCTATTCCAGGCAGCGATTTCTTGCCTGATTCCACTTTCTGACTAAAATATTGCCTTTCCTCCCAAGAGCGGTAGCCTTCAACCAAACGAATGGTCTTCTCGAGCTCAAGGTGTGGGTTCTTCGGATGTAAGCTGATAACTAATGAAAAAGAAAGAACTTACGTCAGACGTATCAACAGATGGTGGCG